TAGCCGATTTACTTCCGCCTTGTGGAGCAGGAAGAAGTTGAAGCCCTAAACTATCGCATAGTGCAATCTATCGTTCAGGCTTTAGGGTTTAGGGGTTCAGGGTTTAGGGTTTATAGCTTATGGGGTTTAGGGTGTACTTGCCTCCTATCTCTCTGAACTTCTGTATCCTTCCCCCGTGCCACCTGAGGCTGACGTTTGGACCAGCGCTGGCCTCATCCGTGGTTTCAGCTTTAAGCTTGAGGAACCCTAAGCCCCTAACCCCTCGCCTCGCCTGGATTGTCCGAGTGGGAGCGCCGAAACCCCAAAAACCCTAAACCCTGGCCGGAGTTTGCTCGGCTGGCTACCCATAGGCCCCATAGTAGTTCCTTTTTGGGATTACCTTATAGGATTCTATATGTGAACCCCAAAAAGGGACTACCTTGGGGCCTATGGGTAGTGCTCAGATTTTGTCCTTTCTGATGCCTTGTACGTTGGGTCAGACTCAGACCATCTAAAGTCAGAGCTCTTGCGAGCTTGAAAAAAAAGGTGCCAAAATAATTACCAATACCATTTTTTGTTGGGGGGGTTCCATAATTTTAATATAGTATAATGGGCCCCAAATCCTGTTCTAGTTATATAAGGCCCCTGTATTAGTTCATCTTGCGCTGTTTTGGTGACGACAACTCGGGATCTGAGTCCTAGGTGTCACCCAATGGCTTCAAAGATAGAGCCGATGCCTTTTGTTGGAGTCCAGGCTTTGAGACCAAATTACTCATGTTGTTAGGGTTCGCCTCGAAGACGGATTTTGCAGAGGAGGCCACTTAGGAGGTACACTGTCGATCATCTTTCGATGCCCTTCCCCGGGAAGAGGTTTTTGGTGTTTAGGTTTTCTTGTGCATCTGTTTGGTTGCTGCTTGCATAGTCGCGGTCAGGAGATCTGTTGCCCAGTATCACGCCGACTCAACCCTGTACAACCTCGCCTGCCATGTCAGAGTTTTGAGCGTAATATGGCGGCGTAAATTTTACGTATACTATTTTGGGGGGGGGCTCCTTAGTATAATTCTAGTATAAGATACCCCAAAACCCTATTCTAATTATTAAGGCCCCTACATCAAACCGAAACCCCAGGCAAAACCGAAACCCCAGGCAAAACCCCCCCACAAAAAATCTCGAGGACTTCCCAGCGCGGCCTCCGAAGTTCAAGTTCGAGTCGAAGTGGCCCGGGCCCTCGGGAGATGGCTCATCTTCTCCATGGGTATATAGTTTTCTAAATTAGGGTCCCGGTTCAGGTCCTCAATATAGTAGGGCACCCTTATAAAAAGGACTTAAAAAGGGACCCTCATTTAGACAACTACCCATCTTCACCACAAGGGCTTCAATTCAACTAGCTTACTGCAACTATCTAGTGGGTTACTTGGTTGAAGAATCTAGCTTTATGAGAGCATGAAAGTGAGACCAAAGAACTATAAGAACATATCAACATGTGACTGCTTCCCTTTTTTTTGGGTGACTGGGCACCAGGCCGAAGCAAGCGTGAGAACAGCAACTGTTGTACCCGTAGGCTTAGGGTTCAAGTAGGGGCTTCAGGCTTTGACGTGGATTCTTGGGAGCGCCGGTGGCTGTGAGCTTACAGACTTGACATTCAGCCTAACTCGTGACACATCCAAGCCAAAGCTGCGACTCGTGATGCCCTCGTTTTCTGCTTTCTAAGTCTCACGACCTCCACGTCGCAGGTGCTACTGCAACAATATGAGCATAGAACCAGGTTGTGGGGTTGCCAAACATGTGCACACTCGCGTGGACCCTGCACTGACAGAGCTTGCAAGCTGATCCAAGTGATCAGCCCCAGATCCTCACCGCTTCGAAATCCCAAACCCTAAGCCCTAAACCCCTAGTTTGTACAAGTTGGACACAAGAGACCTCGTTTGGCGGAGTCCGAGTTGCGAGAGGGTAAACCCTAAACCCCTAAAACCTAAACCCTAAGTGCACTGCATCCCCGGCTTTGACATCTCTCATCCCGTGGTCTTCGAGCGAGCAAGACTCTCAAAGATATGCCCTACCACGACGCCCCAAAGGCACTTGATCATGATGTTGCTTGATCATTCGGAAGTCGAGCTGTTGAAGGTATTGCGATAGCAAACACCCCTCAGCGAACCACAACATACGATAATGTTATATCTTTATTGCTAGACTTCCATATAAGCCATGAGAACATTCCACATTGCACTCAGGTGTGCTACAATGTTCTAGCAAACTGCATGATATCGGTAGCCCAGGATTTGCGGATTGTTCCTGCTGCTTGCGAGATGTCAGACCATCCTCAGGCTTTTGGTTCCGCCTATGAGTGACATGCATACATACATACATACATACATACATACCCTTGTGGCTTCGAACAACAAAAGGTCAGTTGTCTAGCATGAATCCAGGTCCCGAGACTGAGCTGTTGCCGGAGTTTCTTTTGCACACCTCTGCGGCCGCCAGCCCTAAACCTCCGTGCATAAGAACTAGACAGCGGTGTGCTGAACCCAAAGCGCTGGCCGAAATCACCGCTCCGTCGTTTTCTTGTATAGTTTCCGACCCGACCCTTGGGTCTCATGGCCAGGCCTCTAATTAAACAACATTCAACTCCTTGGTGCTTGACCTTCGAGGATTAACCACCAGCACTTGCTACGGCCTCAGTGGTATTTGGCGGCTGCATTGGTTTAGTGCTTGGGCTCTGCGGGAGTTGGGGACTTCGAGTTTAATGCTTGCGGCTGGCTCTATGCAGCATAGAAACGTTCAGCAGTTGAAACCATGGCGCGGGGTTTGTCCCAAGTCAATGTGACCTGTTCGGTATAGCCAACGCATCACGGCCAGCCGACGAAGTCGCTGAAACCCATTGGGTTCTCAGATGTGTCGAAAACATACGTAGACATGTCAGATCTGTTAGTTAGGGCCATGATGGCCACAGCAAGGTACTACGAGCACATTGCAACTGCTAGCACTGCCAGTAATATTACTGCAAGTGCTTCTACAAGTACGACTACATCTACCATGTGTACTACACGTAGCTCACATATCTCCCGTGCGACGAGTACTGCTCCTGCTCTTGCTGCTGCTCCCCTGCTCCTGCTACTACCATTACCAGTACTATTTCCACTGCGACTACTTCTGCCGCCATCACAACCGCCGCCAAGACCCGCCACCGCCACCACCACCACCACCACCACCACGACTGCTACCTCTTCTTCTTCTTCTCCACCGACGCTGCTGCTGCTGCTGCTGCTGCTGCTGCTGCTGCCGCTGCTACTGTTCCTGCTACCACCACTACCGCTACCAGTACCACTACCGCTACCACCACCACCACCACCACTGCCACCACCACTACCACCACTCCCACGACGACGACGACGACGACGACTACCACTAGCACATACTACCGCCACCACTACCGCCGCCACCACCACCACAACAGCAGGTGGGGTGATCGCATTTGCCACTCGCTCCTCTCTGACGACTTTCTGGACGCTGCCGGGGTTTCGATCGAGTGAATAGGTCGGCCTGACGCTCAATCCGTACAAGGCCCTCAACCCCTGAATGCGGCAGGAGCAGGAGGTTGCTTACTACGTGAGATCTGAGCCGAGCATTGGCACCTTTGCGGTTCAAAGAGAACCCGGACGGAACAGTCACTCGCCTAGTTTGTTTTTTGGAACAGTGACGGCAAGCCTCAAACCTTGCATGCATCTCGCCCGGATCGTCCGCAGTCACTGCTGGCACACACCCTATAGCAATCCGAATTCCAAACCCTCTGCGAGGACTTCTTCCGTGAACGGCGGACGCACAGCACGAGTCTTTGGTTGATGCCTTAGCAAGCCTACAGGGATTACGGAGAGAAAGGACCTTACCGTTCCCCTACTTCACCTGTTAGCTCCCTCATGAAAATCCCTTGTTGTTGCAGAGACGTTGGCACCTTGGAGAAATCTGATCAAAAAGGATTCAGCTCATGTTTAGTTTGCGGAGATTTCGGCACAACGGATTTATTCCTCGGGAGTGAGGATGGGTTTAGGGTTAGGGATTTCGAGATCATCACTCGATGGCCCCACCGAAACAACATAATGGATTTGTCTGACAGGAATGCTTCGTGCGCGCTCTCGGACGAGGACCAGATGTGTCTCTTCAGGGCTGGACCAGTTTTCCGTGCTTTTGTTGGAACTTCCATCCTTGCTTTGCCTGATTTCGAGCATTTTAAGGCTGATGAGCCCTGCCGGAACACCAACAGGTGCAACAAAGGCAAGAATCAAGGATGCAAGAAGCATGGGCCAGCACGGATAGAAACGAGCGGCCGCAGACGCTCAGTCGAGCCTGCGAACACATGTTGCTTCGTGTTGGAATGTTGTTCTGCCCTGAGTGATGTCGAAGTTGTTCCGCGGACAGACTTGACACTTGTTGTCTGAGGTATCATGCTGTTATTGATCTTGTTGGGGGCCTCGCCTCAAGAACGTCAATCTCAAACATGATGTCAACGATGCAGAAGAAGATAATCAAATGTCAATGTTTTCCAAGAAGCTTCGTAGTCCCGCACACGTTCCCCTTTAAAATCATGATGCTGGGGATACGCTGCTCTCTTGACAGTTTCTTTGCGGGGGTATCGCCTGTCTCGTTTTTGCCAGTGCAGGGAGTGTCGTCTCTCCGCAAGCCTGCAGGGAGGAAGAGAGGACGGGAGAGAGACACAAGGGACGAGGCCCCGAACCTGAGAAGGGCGCATAGCGACGGCAACCGGACTCTGGACCCTCTTCCACCTGTCGGCGACGGCAGGAAGGGCTGGGCGGCATGCCCCCAGCCGAGCGAAGACTGAGGGCTCTTGGGATCGTGTGCCATTTTGAGCCTCAGAAAGTTGTGTAGACATTGCTGAGCTCATGGGCTCTTGCCAGTACATGGAGTGATCGTCGAAGGTGGGGTTGGCGAGTAGTAACTCGCTATGTGTTGGGCATAGCCTTGTCTGTCGCTTGCTCGTGCGGGGACACCCGCAACCCTCCGAGGCCCCGCTACCTGCAGATTCTCCGCGAGTTCCTGGGCTGTGACTCTGACTATGACGAGGAGCAGCATGCGTGGCTCTCGGCCATGTGACGCGGTTGAGGGGTTGTTTGCTTGTGTAGACACGTCGGCTTTACGGGAGCTTGGATGGATAGTAGGATGATTTCCCCACAGACTCTTCTGCAGTTGTTGCGAAGTTGTTGAACATATGCGCGTGAACATGTGTGTATATATATATATAGTATAGGATTTCAGGCCTTGGGACCTCAAGGGTCTTTGTGATGTTAGCTTCGGACATATGGACAGATCGAGACTTAGGCTCCAATCCGCGAATGGCCAACATGTGGGAGAGCTTCTCACTCCTTTCAAGCCCTCGAACCCTGCATCCATGGTATGGTATGTTATGGTATGGCGTGGTATCGATGCAAGGAATATGCGTGCATGTATGTATGTGCTATGTGCATGCACGAATGAATCAGATACATGTGTATATATATATATATATGACTTATATGCACACACTGAGAGGCAGAAAGGTTGACATTTATACCGATGTGTATATGTAAGATGGGCGCATAGAGGGATAGACAGACAGAGAGACAGGGAGACGGGGGCAGTGCGAGAGAGACAGAGAGAGAGAGAGTGGGGTGGGGGCCTTGGAACTTAACAACTCGTCCTTCATGCGCTGCAGAAGAAGACACACAGACAGACAGACAGACCAGACGGACAGACAGACAGACAGACAGCAGGCAGGTGTTGAACTTCTGGCTCACGAGGGTGTTTGCTGTCTCCGAACATCTCTTTCAGCTACTGTAGGCATCTCCTCCTGCATACTAGCTTAAGGGGCTTCTCGGCCGAAGCTCCCGACGTTGAGCATAGATCACCCCACATTCAGGCTTCCACGGCCCGAGCTCTTTTGTATCCAGCCGAGGTCAAGTACGATGCCAGCTCCCTTGAAGCTGATGCCACTTGTCGGCACAGGTCACAATGCGCAGCTGAGCGAATTTATCTTTCAGCATTTCGGGCCTAGACATAGATTTCGCATTCAAGCGAAACTGGATGCATGCATAATGCTTGTGGTGCCTGTATGCAGACCTAGAATTGTATACTAGTTGCACAAGCATGTACATGCATGTACCCGGCTGGACGCTTTCAAATTATCCTTCTAGTGACCCTTGGTGCAACCGAGCAACGTAATCCTTACCAGAGCCGCAAGGTCGCCACGCAGAGATCCTTCAAGCCCGAGTGGTGGGAGGTCGGATCCTCCGGTGTCTTATCCCTAAGGGTCCATGTACCCAAATAGTATATACATAGGCCCTAAAGTACCTAAATAGGGACCACATTAAGGCCAAAGTATATACTGTTTGGGTACATGGACCCTTAGGGTTATGAGACTGAAAGGTACCCAGGTCAGGACATCCGGAAGCCCGACCCGAAGCTCCCAAAACCCTAAATTTACATGCCCTTCTGACTTTTAGGACACTTTGGGTTAACCCTAAACTCTAAACCCTAAACCCTAAACCAAGCCCCCTCGGCCGAGGGCCTCGGGTTCGCAACCTTTGCGGCTTGTACGGGCTTTAGATTTCGACTGTCGGCTTCGGTTTAGGGTTTAGGGAGTAAGGCCGTGTTGAGTCCGGCTTCTCTCAAGGCCCGAACGTATTAATTTATGCGAAGTTGGGCCGAGTGGGACCTTCTCGTTCTGGACAAGTCGTCCGAATGAGTCCCCATCATCCACACCCCTTTCTTCCAATTCCGAAACTTTTATCTTCAGGGAAACTGGCATGCAAGTGTTCTCTGGGACCCTGACTTTAGGATGAAGAAGGGCCCTCTGCAAGGCAAGGGAGACATGCCGTAAGAGTTGTAGGACGTATCTGTGTCACTTGATTTCGGATTCAAGTCTGCTTGCTTCGTGTCGGGCGTTCCTCTTGTAGCAGTTTATGTCCGGGCTTTGGTTTAGAAAGCAGACGGAATTGTGGCTTCATCAACAGCTACAGCAAAGGCCCAGGGCTTCGGGGCTTTATAACAGACTCTTTTCGGGGGGTCGACCCGCGATAGTCATCCATGCCAATCCCTAAGGGTCTACCTACCCAAATAGTATATACTTTGGCCTTAACGTAGTCCCTATCTAGGTATTTTAGGGCCACTGTATGTACTATTTGGGTACATGGACCCTCAGGGAATTGACAAGCAACATTGACATGTCGGTGCTCTTTCTCCTCTCAGTCAGGAGAGTTCCCGTCTGGAGCCAGAGGCATCTGCCACAACACAGCCGGAGGCCACCACTATCTAATTATATGCTTTATTTATGCATGTATGTATGCTGCGCACACATATACATACATACATACATACATACATACATACATACATGCATACATACATACGTACGCACATACATACATACATACATACATACATACATACATGAATGCATTCATACATATATATATATATATATATATATAATACATATTATGTGTGTGCGCAACAAATTGTGGATGCTACGGTTGACAGCCATCTTTCGATGTGTTGGTGAAAGTCGCTGCACGTATGTAGGTTAATAGAGCATGCTTTTCCCTCGCAGGCTCCATCGCGGAACGAGCACATGGAAGCGAACGCAGAACCATAGCATTCAGTGACTGCAGGTCCTGTAAGGACCCCAAAACTGTTCCCTGAGATCCTGAAGTGGCCACTTCAGGCTTGAAGCTCAGCTCGCCTAAGCCTCTAAACCCTAAACCCCTAGATCCCTAAACCCCTAGGTCCCTAAACCCCTAGAACCCCAAAAACCCCTAGATCCCTAAAAACCCCTATATAGATCCCTAAAAACCCCTAGATCCCTAAACCCCTAGATCCCTATACCCCTAAACCCTGAGTTACGAGCCCTTTTCTCCACGAGGCCGAAGCTGCACAATCCAAGGAGGAGGCGGAGTGGGGGGGACCCAAGCACCCTGCATTTTGTCTATGATGGCCTTTGAATCACATGATGTGGGGTTGTGGAGTCTTCATGCTTCGGGGCTAAGATAGCAAGGTTCTCTGAGTCTTGAGGATGGGGGGGCTTCCTGCATTAGTGTTGTCTTGTTGTTTTGGCACGAGGTGTCGTTGTTTCACTCGTTTCCCATACCTGCAGATTCTTCTTCGGGACTCTCTTGGTTCATATTCTCTGCATGGCCAATTCAAGCTTGAGCCGTGCATCGCGCATGCCATTCTCGGGTTCGAAGGACATGGGGCTCAAATGGGGTTCAAGATGAAGCACTTAGGAAACACCTCCAACCCTAACACTTGCGAATCCTAGCACCCACAATCCCTGTCAGCGACGGAGTGGCCTGCAACCTCAAACTGCAAGCACGAAGACTTCTTGTTGTGCGCATTCAATGGATGCATGCGCAGAAACCAAGGCAAATCTTATAACCACACTCATACTTGTATACTTTACGTACCCCAGAGCCAAAAGTCAATTTCGAAGCCGACAAGGTGTGGGGCATCGACTTCTTCTCAAAGGAGTGCTGCCAACATTCGTCCTCGTCGGTTCCCTTCCGCTTAGTGGTTTAGGGTTTAGGGTGTCCAGGCAGGTGCTGGGGACCGGGCTGCTGTGTACGAGGCCTGCTGTAAAAAGGGTGTCCAGGCAGGATCAGGAGTTTTTCGAAGCACAACATCAGCAAAAGACTGCCTCGCACCGAAATGTGAGAACCATGTTGTAGTGCTTCGGTTTCTTGATGCAGTCGGGGCAGTGCATGCGGAGGGCATCACTCTCCTCAAGTCAGCTAGCGGCTTACTCCGAATCGTCCTGCAGCTCTTCTCTGGATCTCCTACCCCGAAGTTTAGGGTTCAGGGGGCGTGCAGGCATATGCGTAGTCCAGGTGTAAAAGGGGGCGTGCAGCTCGACTCTTTACTGACTTCCCTGGTTTAGGGTTTTAGGGTTGAGGGTTTAGGGTTGCTCCAGAGCTTCACCAAATGAGGGCCTAGATCCCCAGCTCATGCCATGCTTCGCATCCTCCTGGAGATACCCAGTTAAGCTTTTCTCTCTTGGTAGAACCAGTTTTTTCAACCTTTATAGAACCCTTTTTAGAACCCTTGTTTGGAGCACAGGAAAGTGTCCCTCGAGCTTGACAGCTGTAGGTCCTCCAAGCAGGCTTGGACGTTGATAAGGAGGCCGTAATTATTAGAACAGGTTTTGGGGCATAGTAGCTTAACTTGGTAGGGACTATGAGGGAGCAGCATCGCAGTGTCCGGTGCTGTATAGACGTTCGGACGCATCTCAGAATTAGTCAGACTCCTATAAGTATTACACGTACATGTAGCTGCATGCAGAGAATAGTGTTGGACTATGACTGAAAGTCTTTGAGAGTACAACCAGCTTGAGCAGTTAAGACTAAGACTGCTTAGAACATCACCAGTTAAGAGTAATGGCGACACTACTCAGCAATGACAAATTTGAGTGGTAGCGATGCTCGAGACATTAACAGCACAATTCAACACCGTCAACCGCGAAAGTAAGTATGCTCGCAATAGCCTATAGCAAGCTATTCGAAGAAACCTGTTATGCTCATAGGATTTCATCAACAAGTGGCTGCGCAATGATGGCTAATCAGCGGCTAAGCTCTCTGATGACCTGACAAAATTTTGTTCTACAACCATATACACGCACACACAGATCTATATATATATATATATGCCAGTATTTAGTTGTCCTTAATTCAGATATACACATATATGCGTGCAAGTCGGTGTGCTTTATCCATGTTTGCGTCTCGTTTTCGAGCATGCTGCAATGTTGGCCTGCAAACTTGCCTAGTTAAAGTTATTCTGCTCAGGCCCATTCTTGGCATGTATCCTTTGCTGGAACAGTCCGGGTGCCATGGACACATTAAATGAGCAACTTATGCTTCAGGTTGCTTAGGCCCCATCCAGCCCACAGCACTTAGGCTCTGAAGCGTTCAGGAAGGTGGTGTCTATGGAAGTTCCCGGGTCTCAGTCGCAACTCATGTGGCGAAGCCTATGGTGCAACGCGACCCGGTGATATGACATGCTTCGCAGACCACGAGGCAGCCATCCGCATGGTCTTGGGGAGCCAGACTTTTTCTGTGTTCATATGTGCTTCCTCGCTTGCTTGTTTGCGTCTGTCAGTGCGTGAGTGTGGGTGTGATATCGTCTTTGCACTAGCCCGGAGTCCTACAATTTGGCAGCCCGTTACAAACAGTGAACCTGGCACTCTGAGGCCTGAACCCTGCAATGCCTTGGTGCACGTGCGTTCTAGCCAACACAAACTGTGCCACGAAGCAGTCTGAATCCCTCAAACGCGTCTCGCATGATGAGGCTAAGGTAGAATTCGGGCCAGCTTCTATAGTGTTGAAGTTTGGACCATGTCATGTTCAAGCGAAGCTGGAGCTCCCTCCCACCCCGCCACGCCAAAGCCCTGCTTCTCTCGGTTATGGGAGATATGAGTTGGACTGAAATAGCGCTTGCTCTTGGGTTTCCCATGATCTATGACCTCAATGCCTCCTTGTAGCAGCTGGCAGCCTTCGCGAAAACATAATTTGGATTAGTGCAGTTGGCGCCGGGGTATAACACCCAGCAAGCATTCGAGCTGGAATCACCGTCCGTGCCAGGCCAAGACCGCCCTGGAGCAATATGTAGAGACTATGCGCCGTGGCGTGCTGAGGCCTGCTGTTTTACCGCAGTTTGCCGGAACCAACTTCGCCTGCATTGTCTGAGTTGCCAGAGTCCAAACCCTAAGGCGTAAGCCCGAAGCCCTAAATTCTTTACAAGAGCCAGACTCAGCGGGTCTTTGAGCATTGTGCCCCGTCCGCTTCAAGACGTCCCTGGTGCCAGGAGATCCGTGAGCCCTCGGTTGCTTTGACCTATGCTCGGCTTAGTAAGGTTCAGGGTTCCCTTGAAGGGATCTATACAGGGTTGGGGGGTTCAGGATTCAGGGTTAGCAGGATTTGTTGGGATTTCGGGGTTAAGGATTGCGGCTTTAGGATTTAGGGCTCGTTGAGGTTTTGGTTCAAGTCCTGCGCTGCTTGGGTTGAAGGTTTACAGTCGCGGCTTGAACAGCTTCGGTATCAGGGGGAGTCGGAACGTTTCGTTCTGACCCCGGCAGCTTTCCTCTTGGGATTGGCTTGGTAGATCTCGCCAGCAAAGGGACAAGTTGCCAAAGCTTTGAAGGTTTGTTTGAAAATGTTATCAAGGTGTCTTGTGGCGGAGTCTGAAACATGATATCCTTGAGTTTTGGGTTGAACCGTTGCAGCCCGAACCTACAGTGGTAGGGTTTTTTGGAGAGGTGTCCATGCTGAACCCTAGGTGAACCCTGCGCAGCCATATCCGAAACTTACTTGCTGAGGCTCTTCACAATGTACGCAGTACCTCTTGGCACAGTCCTGGACATGGTGGCGCCCCATCTTAAGAATCAGTGACCCAAGGGCTGCAGGGTTGCAAGCATGCCGCGAGTTGCGGTGATTGCTTTGAGGTGCCACGACATGCCTGCTTAGGGTTGCCTCGGGGGGAAGTGAAAGTGGTTCGGAGTGCATAAGATACAAACTTTAGCGATAAATCCGAGGCCCACACAACCAATCCAATCTTGCGGTTGAGATCTATCTGTAGTCTTTGTCGATTCTGTCTGGAGTTCGGGTATATGGCAATGCATAGAAACTGTGCAAAATTTTCGGATCGGGATGCTGATGGAGCTAATTACTTCGAGCCTATGACACGGACCAATTTGCTGAAAGCATTTCAATGTACACTCTACCTTTGACAGCTTGTGGGAACACTCGGCATCCCAATTCCTATGAAAGCCGAAGTGCCACTAACTTGTTTTTGGAGTTGCAGTGCCCAACTTGCTGCACAGACGGTTTGGTGTACTGCTGCGAACCCTGGTCATGTTCGGGTTATATAAACTGCGCTGGACAGAAGAGAAACCAACGTGACGAATAAAAATGAGGAGGGATCGTCGCGATTGTAATAATGAAGATGACACTGATGGAAGCCAGGACACATATCGCACACGGATGTTGACAATGGCACTCCCGCTACGAAGACTAGGGCGCAGTGAATTTCAGTCACCATTGTCGGGGTAAGGTAGTGGTAGTGTCACGGTGATGGCGCCGTGGCAGTACAATTATTGGCTGTAGTACTGGTGGTAGTGGTAGCAGCCGCAGCAACAGCAGCAGCAGCAGCAGCAGCAGCAGCAACAGCAGTAAAAAGTGGTGGTGGCAGTGGCAGGGCCCATCCTTCAGAAGCACAAGTGCGACTAGCTAGCACAAGTACAAGTTGTTGAGGAGGAGGCGGAGGAGGAGCAGGCCAAAAGGGATCAGTACCATAAACAGTCCCACGGTTTGCTGGTTTGCCGAAGTAATCGGAAAGAGGGACGGGCAACGCACATATCAGCATTCGAGACAGCACCTCGCCCTTGGTTAGCTGCATGCCACCCAACATAGAAGTCCGTAGTTTGAACTCTGGTTTGCTGATGTCGGGTGGCTCCGCTCTTTGTGTTGCAGCAAAAGGGCCCTCCAAACTGCAACCACAACCTACAAAGATTCAGGAGATTAAGGTTTAGGGTACTCTAAAGATTCCTCAGTGCCCCAGCCAAGGAGATGAAGACCTTTGAGGAGCTTTCGAGAGAACACGGCATCGTGGAGTTCGACGAAAAGCACGGCGTCTGTGACGCAAAGGTTGCATGAAATCGTACATCCAGAAGGTGCAATCCTGCAGCAGAGACGAGACCCTGACTAGATTGAGGAGATACGGGGCATTGGCAGCAGCACCTGCTTTGCATGCACAGCACCATCTTGCAGCAATTCCGAAGTTTCCACGCCATTTGCCAAATATTCCTACCCATCTACTCTAGAGGCCGCTAGCTTAGTCAATAAACTTGCATTCATAGGCTCGAAGTGGGTCCAAGAGTCCGCAGCCCGACTCCAAGCAAGGCGCTTGCATGTTCATCTCGCATCAATGGGCCGCTTGGACGTGAAGTCCCTGCAGGTTGTTAACGGTGGCCTTCCACGCCTCGGTCCCCAGACGACGCCCTCCACCCCTTATGTGTGCACTTTATAGTTTCACAGATGTGGACGTCTTTGTGTCCCTGCATGGCAGGTTGCATGCCAGTCATGCCAAAAGAGTCCAACCCCCTATGACCCAACCCTCAACCCTGTCTAAGCCGGGTGCTTCTGTTACTTATGGGATGGTGCTATGGTTTTAGATGTGCTGTTCTGATTTGTTTGTTGTTGCTTTGCCCTGGAATCCGTGCCTGCTTCCTGCGAGTGTGTGACTCGAAACAACGACGCGAGAAATGCAATGTAGGAACCTGTTGTTTTTTCCCCCGGCCCGAGAATCCCAAACAGTAGGAATCATATCAGGAATCCTAAAAAAGCCCGGGGGTTTCTCAATCTATGATGCTCTATGTGCATATATACATATAACGAATATATACACACATGCATACACATTCCTTTTATGTACATAAAACATAAATCCCTAAAGCTCCAACATAAGACTGAAGCCCTTCCTCAAAGGCCAGCGTGGACCATCCGGACCCCGAGCTTCACCAGCTGAGAGTTCTACAGGAGGCCATGAAGAACATTCTTCGAGGCACCCTGAGCCTCTTGGGGGGCGGTTTTTTGGTTTAGGGTTTAGGGTTAGGGTTTTACGGGTTTTCTTGCTTTAGAAATGTTACAAGTCCTAAATGACCTAAATGCTGTACGTTGCTGGACTCTTTAGTTCCATAAGCACTTAAGCCTAGGGTTCCGAAGGCTTCGCGAGTTTGAGGGCATTGGGCTTGGCGGTTGGCGTTGGCCACCTCTTCCCCTGGCAGGCTTCAGGCTTCGCACGGCTGAGAAGGGTTCAGGTTTGCTAGAGTTCTGTGGGGTGGTTTAGGGTTTAGGGTTTCGGGGTGAGGGTTGCATGGGCGCTGGCCGGCACCTCAGTCCGTGCTGAAAAGGGTTTAGGGTTTAATGGTTTAGGGCTTGGGGGCGTCCGCAGCACAGTCGGTGCATCGGTTCCTGGCATATGCATTCAAAAGCTTTTCACTTTCGTTTGGGGCTTTAGGGATGCTAAAGGCTCAGGGATTCAGCGCTCTGAAATTCAACGTTTCGGGTTTTGCGGCACTTGCACGGTGTAAGGTCTGCATCCTGGGATGTCGGATTCGAGGGTTGACAAATTCAGGGCTTCCTTGTGAGTCTACTTCAGGGGCCTGAATAAGTACCTATGTTATTTTGGGGGCTCCTTATTATAATTATAGTACGATGGCCCCCAAACCCTATTCTAATTATTGAGGCCCTTACATTATTGATGTTGAGCCTCCACTGCGGTATGGTTAGTACGACGGTTCTCGAAGGTTGGTTTAGGATTTTGGTGTTTGGGATTTGTGTTTCAAGGGTTCCCCCCTGCCAGCTTCTGTGCGCGTCGGCTGAAGTGTTAGCTTCGAAGATGCACGTGATTCAACACGCCCCTAATTCCTAGCCATCCCTCATAGATGCTATAATAATAAGGTCTGTCCAAGGGGCTCGCAAGCTGGAAGGCAATATGGGAGTTTCCGAAAATTAGGGGTACCTTATTTGGGGGTCCTTATATTAAGGATCCTATTGTTTAGGGTACTATATGGTACTATATTAGGGTCCCCTATTTTCGGAAACCCCCATATCCCAAGAGGGTAGGGCCTTTGCTGTTCCAGAGGTCGCTGTTTGCGTGTTTGTTTTCACGGTGCTTTTGACTTGAAGCAAGCAGTCCTTTCAACCCCACATCAGCCGTCGACCTTAACTCTAACCCCTAAGTTGACCCTAAATCCGAAATCTTGGTTTAACCCTTAAAACCCCAAGCCCCCCTAAACCCTAAACCCTAAAAGCCCCAAGCCCCAAGCCCTAAGCCGGAGCTGCATGAGGCTCATCGGCGCAAATCTCGCCCAACATCGTCATTGAGCTCTGCGGGCTGGCAACGGCAGCTTGGGGCGACTTAAGGGGGTTGGGTCACTTGGGTTGTATAGGGCTTAGGATTTAGTTAGTGTTTAGGGTTTAATTGGGGTTAGGGTTTGGGTTTTAGAGCCTGAAGTTTCAAGCCTGGGGTTCGAAGCTTAGGAAGCCAGGGCCCAGCTAGATGGGTGGTTGTAAAAATTATTTTCCCTTTTTTGGGTCCTTATTATAATACGGCACCTATTATTTAGGGTAACCCAAAAGGGACCATCATTTGACAACTACCCAGATGTCAGCTCTGAAGCCGAAAGTTGACCCCTGCAGCGCACCAGGAAGCCTGCACTCACATTCGTCTCGGAAACGTGCGAATCGTGACATAGCTCGCTAGCCCTCGTGTTACTATGGGGAAAATGTCGAGACTCCTCGAGACCTCGATGCATACGCATGTGTCGCATGGCCCGGCTCACATAGTATAGGGGCCTTAATAATTACCTATAGTATTTTAGGGGGCTCCTTATTATCATTCTAGTATAGTGGGCCCAAAACCCTACTCTAATTATTAAGGCCCCTAGATTACATTCGCCGAGCAGTTGCCAGGATGTCCAAGCCCGGCCGCTTCCAGCTCCGAGAGACTCTACCGGACTTTCATCCTGAAACAGCCACATGGGTAACATAGGGGCCTACATAAAAAAAACCAAAACCAAATTGCGCGGGCTCCTTATTGTAATTCTAGTACCTATTCTAATTAGTAAGGCCCCTATATTCGTTCTCTAACCAGGGCCCTTTTCATAAGGGTGCCGGGGACCTAAAAGGGGACCCTAATTCAGAGAACTACCCATATGAAGCCATTTTAAATAGCCTTGTGGAATAATCCCTAAACCCTAAACCCTAATGTTTCAACCCACAGGGACCCCGTTCCGGCACTCATCTGCAGCAGACAAGCACGTCTAAGCTGGGAACAGCAGCTCAGGCCGTGAGTTCGTCCCGGCTGACCGAGCGCCCGCTTTTCGTTTGGTACGACGCCCTTCTGTTCCTAACATGCTTTTGGTCACAGACGACACTAACAGCAGTAACAGCAGTAGTAGACCTCGAAAGAGTGTTGCTACAGCGGCTCCGGGTCCAGGCTTCGATCGGCAAGGGGAATAGACGACCGTCCTTTATTGTGGCCACTAACGCCCTAGACCAGCCCTCAGATCCCCTAGGATGTGGGCTCGACTAGCTACACGATCAATGCAGGGGCCTTTACAATTAGAATAGGATTGTACTATAATTATTATAATAAGGAACCCAGTAGCTACACGATCATGCTCCTTTGCTGGAGTGTTGGGTTGCACTCGTCACAGGTCGTTTGAGTTCTTTGGGGCAGGCACGATAGGACGGGAGCTTGCTGTGTGGCGGATGTCCGAGGACTACTTCTGCTGTCCGCAGAACTCAGCATCAGCTGAAGACCGGAAGATGGCAATACGCAGCATTCCCTCTTACGTGGAGCTATGCCAGCACTTCGTAATTCTTTGTCCCCCCGTCCGACATGCTGAGCACCAAAGCCTGCTCAGCAAAACAACATGGGCTACGTGCCTCGGACATTTACCAGAACTCTTTTCAAGCATTCATTCCTGGGTCCTAAGCATTTCTTGCAGAACAGGGCATTAACAAGGGCCGAAAGCCGAATATAATATCGAGGCCTAAATGATTACCAATCCTATTTTGGGGGTTCCTTATTATAAGTATGGTATAGAGGGTCCCAAAACCCTATTCTAACCATTGAGGCCCCTATATTATGCGCAATTCTAAGAAGAGCCTGCGAGGCGTGGATGGTGCCGCCTTGAGCTTGTTGTCAGGCCATTGAGCTGCAAGACACATCCTTCCTGAATTGAGACCGGAGGGTTTAGGGTTTCAGGTGGAGGGGTTTTTGGGGCTGCGATTTTATTTTCGATATGAGCTTGGCAGTGATCCGAAAAATCATGCATTTTCCTGGAGCAGTAGGTATACCTACCTACCTAACCTACCTACTCCTGCCTCCCTGCCTGCCTGCATACATACATGCCTACGTACATATTTGAATAAATAGAGTAGAGTTGAGTTTAATACGTAAATCTTTGCTGATGATAGTAATCTTCATACCCTTAACAGTGACAATAACAGTGTGTGTGTGTGTGTGTGTGCGTGTGTGTGTGTGTGTGTGTGTGTGTTGTGTGTTGTGTGTGTGTGTGTGTGTGCATGAGGCCTTCAATGATGGGGATCTGTCAGTTCTTCCCATTTCCACTTCGTGGTCGCAAGATGTACTTGTAATTACTTGTGCCATCAAAGACTTCCCAACACCTGGGCAACAATCTTTGACAGACCCTCGGTTCATTGATGTGGAGCTCCACAACTCAAACGGTCACGACCCCGCTAACATGCGCAGCCTTCATCGCCGGGACCTAAAGCAGCCCCAAAGACCAACATAATTTTCAAACCCGTAAAACCCAAAGCCCTAAATTCCGAAGTCTGCCACCTCTTTTTTTGTTGCCTCTACGAGGCACCTCAGCGCTCGGTCCAGCCTGGCGATTGAGGTGGGCAGGGGACGGCGGGTGGAGGGAGGGGCACAGGACAGTCAGGTTATAATTTGGCTCTTATAACTTACACCAGCCTTATGCTGTTCTAGCCAAGTTTGCATGAAACAAATGATCCCAACCATGAATCAGGTCCTGCGCTCATGGCCAAACTCCTTGAGACTTTTAAATCAAATCTCGAACACTGCAAAAGAAGTTCCCAGGTGACGAGCGCCAGTCGACTTACATTGGCGCGTCTCAGCTGAGACAGGTTGTTTTGTTGGTGGGGTGTTGAGGGTTTTCGAGGTTGAAACTCTTGGGTTGCTAGGGTTTGGGGTTTTTGTTGCTGCAGGGCTGCAGGCTGGTAAAATGTGATGCTTTAGGGTTTAAGGACACTGGTTGGAGGATTGCTGCAGTTCCGAGACAGTCACAAGTAGGCCCGACCCTGTTTCCGAGCTTGACCCCGCCCTAAACCACCGAAAATGCCCAAGTCCACCGCCCCTCTGAGCCCCTTGGTCTACTTTCTCGGCCTTTGACATTTCACTTCTTCACTTGACTTGGGAACTTGCCCAGTGTACGGCACACTTTCGGTGTGAGGATTTTGTGGTTTCAGGCGGTGTCTTCCAATTTTAATCGTAACATAGACACCAAAAGCCACAATGCTAAGCTTCGCATGACTCAGGTCAATGTTCGACTGGGTTCTGGAGCCCGTGGGAGAGGGCTTGTTCACTGTCGAGGAAGACGTGAAGCATGTTCGCCCTGTGCTGCATGGACCCTTGGGTACGGTCGTGAATGAAATTACAGCGAACCCTCAACACATGTTTTTCCCACCGATTCAGTCAATGATTTTGCCTGGATCGTCCAATTCTGAACCGGTCAGCTGTTGCAGTTCGAGGATGCGGGACTTCCACCCAAATTTGATAGTCAAGCATGTGACCCTGGAAACCTAAGCACACGCCCTGCACCCTGAATGACCCGAGTGGCTGCAGTAGTGAGCCCAAGGATTGGTCAAGGAGAAGTTGCTCGCATATCTTCGCACTGGCAAGCTTCACTACTACCGTGCCCTGTGGAACTTGCAGACAGTTGTTTTCCGCAACCTCGAAGTCGAATCTGTGTTGGATCTCATTCCGGGTATGGAGTCCAATGTTTTGGATCCAGCCCACTATTCGACGGAAGAGTTCATGTACCAGAACGGCCACTCGTGCATGATTTAGTTTGTTCCTTTCGCCTTCCATCCAATTGTTGTGCTGGCACATGGCCATTGGTGCACACATACAGTACCTGGTGCCTTAGGATTCCGACGAATCGACGAGCGGGATGCTTCCGGATGGACACCATTGTGCTACGCTGCTTTAGGTGGCAGCCCCTTACAAGTGTCCGCGCTTTTAGAGGCCAGGGCGGACGCGAACGACACGATCAAGATCAAAGGACATCGGTTCGAATTGTCTTGGCCGCTCAGGCTGTAGCGGTTCAAAAGACCCACGGCCCGACGTTGTCGCCCGTGTCGAAGCGCTAGCTTTCATACACCCTGAATGAAGCTCGCAAGGGTTGGGGTTTCAAGTGTTTGGGAGGACCCCAATTTATGAACTTTGGCAACAATGCCACAGCACTCTCCATCTGCGTCTTCTTGAAGCACAACGAGGCAGCAAAGGCCTGCCCGGGCGATCGAGTGTTGAAGACCATGTGCTTGAGAGCAAGGGCTTTCAAGATGCAAGGGCTTTCAAGATGTTTACATATCGGCTACACCCTCAACCCTAAAACTCTGCAGTACCGGTCGCAAAGCCGGGTTATTCCCACCTGATGGCACTGCGGTTTGGTCAACAATGAGTTCCCATGACAGTGTGCCATATCTGTGGTGGCTCTCTCACCACGCCAAGTCCTAAATCTGAAACCCGAAATCGGGCTAAACCCTAAGCCCTAAACCGTACCCTGCATTCGGCTGGAAGGGAGTGTATGTCCGAGATAGGGCGGTGGACAACCCAGCTCCTTCCACCGGCAGGTTCTGCTGTCCTACCGTGCCGATCCTGAGACCAGGGACTGGGCTTTGCAAGAGAGAAGCCGAAGGTTCTTCTCCATGGTTTAGGGTTTAACGGTTTAGGGTTTAGGGTTTAGGGTTTAGGGTTTAGGGTTTTCCATAAAGGGTTCCTGTTACGTGCACGGGCCCATATGACCCAGAGGCCCGCTCTTCGAGGCTGCTACCAGACCTTGGGGCTGAAAGCCATGGTCATTTTTTAAGGGGTAGAGCTAGCATGCAGCTATATCATACGGTTTAGGGGTTTAGGGTAGGGTTAGGGACCTTAACTGTGCTTCGGGATGGCTTCGCAATAAGATCTGCCAGTCACGAATCAAGCTTCTTAGCCTGTCCCTTGCGGGTAGGCAAACGTTGACTCCGGCCCTGCCCTACATGAAAGGAGTTGGCATGAACATAACGATGAGTTCAATCGTCGAACCTGATCCCGAAGCCGGTCGAGGTCACTTTGAATCTAGCATGGTGATTATAAAGACTGTTGCAACCAAATTGTGTCTGTCATGTGCATGGAGTACAGTTACCTACTGATGAGAAGCGAAGACCTCGCCTGCCAAAGAACCGTACGACAACCTGCTTCGGCAACATTGCTGTCAACTCTGGGTATATTGAGAATTCACATGAGTCATCAGGTGTCTTTACTCCGAGTGGCCACTACCACTACTGTACCTACGAAACTAGTAGAAGAACCACTACTGCTACTACTACTACTACTACTACTACTACAACTACTACTACCACTACCGCTACCACTACCGATGCCACTACTACTAACTACTATTAACTAATACTAACTACAACTAACAACAACAACAACAACAACAACAACAACAACAACAACAACAAAAACAAAAACAAAAACAAAAAAAATAAATATATATATATATAAGCACGAGCACGGCCACAGACACAACAATAGTGGTGGTCATGGTATGTCATGGTAAACCCAAGCCTTCATAGCCTGAAGCCCTCCAGGTTTCCCAGGCTCCCAGCCGCCTCCCGAGGCCCTTCGAGGAGCTCCAGCTTCTCCCCGGCCTCGGGTCTCACCCAGGCTCTTGGAAACCCGGGGCCCTGGAGCACTGCAAAGATCGAGACTTAAGGTTTGGTTACCTGGCCCTTGGCAACCTAAGATCAAGAGAAACCTGTTGTAAAGCAGACCCTGCTTCAGCACCGCAAAACTTCGAGATCCTCTCCGGCCTCAAGGCTTCGGATGGACACTGCCTCGGCACCACTTGCCTCCGTGGGCTTCCAGAGTTCGGGGAAAAGGCCTTCGGGGGGGTTCGGGCTGCAACTTTCGGAGTTTGGGCAAATCTCCCCGCTGGTGGCAAGGATGTTCGGGTTGACATACTCGGCTCCCTTGCACTGCGGGGTTCAGCTCTTGCGGTATCGCTTCTTTCTGGCTGCGCGCTGAAGGTTCAAGGCCACAGGTCTCCACGGCTTGGGCTTTGGGTTGCTCACTTAGACAGGAGGACTGTCTTGGCAGGTCCGGAGTCCGGGCAGCTTCCGCCGGGCAATTACAGTACAGGCGATGAAGGCCTGCAGCCCTGAATCCGACAACCCTCAACCTGAGGGAAAGCCCGAATCTTTGCCCCAAAGAAGTGGGGAGCTTCTGGAGCATTGTGGCGTGGCACCAGGGAGAGACGAATTCTGCTCAAAACAGCGACTCCATGCAAGTGCTGCACCAGGAGGCTGCAGTGGTGTGTTCTGCCAGAACGTGCCAGAACAAATATACCCTGAATCATGCCAACTGTATGCAACACGGGCAAAACATCCGCTTCTCTGGCCATTCTTCTCAATCTAGTGAGTCGAGTACCGTAAGACAAAGGTGCATAGCACGTTGAAACATGGCAGCACGGGGGCTTTCTGCGTGATGGGTTGTCCTGAGGACTTAGACTGAGCAGGCGCTTTTTAGTCAGGTAGTCATCCTATGATCCTTTCAATGGGTCTTCTGCGGTTGGGTATTGGACTTGGGTGTGTGGTTGTTGGTTAAGATGTGCGGTGCTAGAGTGCTGTTTGTGGTTTGTTGGGATGAGGGATGCATGGAAATGGTCTTCCCTCCATGATGAAACAACTAACAGATGTGACATACACGAAAGCCATTAATGGGGCTCTTCTTGCGATGAATAACGGCAGGAGCCAAGTCTTACTTACTCTGTACCCTCCTCCTCTGAAACGCCGTATGAACGCAGAAATCTTGTGCAATGCTTCCGAGGATTTCCCTAAAAGCCCTGAGCCCTATGGGCCCTAAACATACCCTACCCGGCCCTACACTTCACAACCCAAACTCTTTTGAAGCTCACGCCTCTCGCAGTTCCGCCGGGCCGCTGGCCACCAAAAAGGGCTTCTCCCGCGGCTTCCTCAAAGAGCCGAGAGCCGGAAAAAAAAAGATGCAACGCTAAACCCTAAGCCTCTTGAAAGCCTCTCTATGCTAGCGTTACAAAATGCCACAGAGAATCTTCAATGAACCCTTTTCGTCGACCCCCTGTAACAAGCTGACACAGCATCTGTTGAAAAACATGCATGATCCATGAAATCCTCAAAGCTCCCTGTTCGGGTTGACACCTCGGAGATCATTTGGTCGACCTCTTTGAAAGTCCCTCTATGCTTAAGCTGCTAACTACGATACGGCCACAGGGATGGCTCATAGCCATAGTACGTAGTGTTCAGACCTTTGCGGTGCAAGTACTCCTCCTGTAGTGGTGATATAGGGTTGGGAAAAAGTTGCACTGCCGAAGCGTGAACCCAGCAAAACTTCTTGGAACCAACACCATCAAACTTGAACGCTGATGTAGGGTCTGGGCAAGTCAGGGCCCCATGAAGGCCCCCTCACGTGAACTGTCTGCGAAAGACTGCCGCACGGTCTACGATTTACAGCAGCGGCGGGTTGGAATTCGCTCGGGGCTAGATGATCGGGAGACTGAATGGGCTTAGATGTGGCTGCGAAGCCGGCAGTGGTAGCAGTGGTTGCTCCGGCCCGGTACCGTAAGATACCTTCAGGCTGATGCCCCGCATCTATCCTGTTCCTGCATGCTCCTGCTCTCTCCTCCTCCCCCTACTCACCCCCTCCTCCCCCACCCCACTCTACTGCAACTGCTCCTCCTGCTCCTGCTCCTCCTCCTACATTGCCGCTACGACGACTACTATCGACTACTGCTGCTACTCGCTACTATTCCTGCTGCTGCTACTACTTACCACAGCCACTGCTACTACTGCTACTACTGTTACTACTGTTACTACTGCTACTACTATTCCTCTACTACTACTACGATTCCTCCTATTACTACTACTCCTTCTTCTGTTACTCTACTAAAACTACTACTACTACTACTACTACTACTACTACTACTGCGTGAGGGTTTGGTATCGATGATACGCTATATGCTCACCTCACCGAGCGTGTTGTTGTAGTTGATGGGTATTGCCAATGT